TAATGGCTAAAATATTGGCAATAAGTCTAGCTGAGATGAGAATGCTTAGATGGATGTGTGGTAAAACTAAGAAAGATTTGGAAATGAATATATTCGTGAAATGGTAAGAGTAGCATCAATTGAAGATAAGTTGAGAGAGAAAAGAGTGATATTGAAAAAATAAACTGATAGAGAGAGAGCATAAATTGTGTATATATTATGATTGATATATTGATTGATGTATTACAAGATTGATTATATTCTGTATATTACAATTCCTATATATAGAGGAGAAGATGGTAGTGGAGTGTGTGATAGTGGAGGTGGATGGTAGTGGAGTGTGTGATAGTGGAGGTGGTAGGTGTGGAGAAAGATAGTGGAGGTAGTAGGTGAGTGGTAAATTCTAACAGATATAATCACAATAAATTAAGATATTAGGGGAAAAGAAAGACCTAAACTGACATGGAATGCAATAATAAAAAAATAGATATGAATTTATTTAGTTTGAGTATAGAACTCTTGACAGCAGAATGGTGAAAAAGGATTCATGTGGCTGACCTTGAGTGGGACACAAGACTTAGTTTGGTTTGGAGTTGGCTAAAATGTTGCAGTGTATTCATTGACCGAAGTTTAGTGGGTAACCTTTACTTCTTGAAGAACAAATAATGAAGAGAGATTGCTCTTGTCACAAGACCCCCCCAAAAAAAAAATAAATAAATAAATAAATTAAATTAAATTAAAAGAAAAAGAAAAAGAAAGAAAGGAAATAAACAAAGTAAAAGGCGTTGTCAATTTAAAAATGTAATGGGTTCTACATGATGACACGGATGTGGACTATTTATTTGCCTTGCTTGTAGCCCTAGGATATTTGGAAACAGTTGCTAGCAAGAATTATGGATCTCAAATAACAACCTGAAGGTGAAATTGTGTGCCCTTATCAATGTTTTCACCTACAGAAGGCATGCATATTATTAAGGAAATGTATCCACGTGTCATCTTCCTATTGATCCAGGACGTACTACTGGATGGGTGCACTTTACCCCAATTTCATTTACAAACAAATCTCAACATAAATTTGATGATTTGCAACCATAGAATGAGCCATTAGCTAAAATGTTTTCCCTGTATTAAATAGAGTATTTTCTTTTTGTTGCACAAATTAGAAGACTAGCGGTTTTAGTGAATAAAACTTATTGTTTTGGATAGCATTTGGATTGTATTGTGTGATTATAGTAACAGTGAAGCTCATTGCTAAGTTCAATGTTTCTTTTTGGTTATCTAGTTTGTTGTGTGTGTTTCCTATATCCCTTCGGACTTAAGTGATGTACACACGCATATATATACATATGTATTTTTATGTATACATACACATTTATTTCCTGTGGGTTTTGGTGTTGTCTTTGTTCTTCTTGGTTCTAAATTGGGCATCATTTTATTGATTGTTCTCTGATTTCATTTAAACTTCCTTTTAAATCTTATTCAAAGTATAATATCCAATGCATGCTATTTGGCACATTAGTGAAGCATCACACATAAGGTAGAGCTGTTTTAAGTTGTTTCCATTGATATGATCCATTGACAACTTGAAATATATGGTTATAGAAGTTGTCTACATTCTTACCAGTGCTGAAAATACATATTTTTATAACGATATTTTCAAATTGTCTGTGTTAATATTGTGGCTGTGAGCTTAAAATTACATGGCTGTAGATTTTGTTAATGCTCTTGGTAGTAGCAAATTACTTAATTTTTTCCCTTTTCTGTTATCTTTAAATGGATCATAATATTATTAATGGCAGAATGAATCAATCTACGCAATGTGCATAACCGGTTCTGTAAATGGTTCAATGTGTGTGTGTGTATGTGTGTGCGCAATGTGCATAATTCTTCCACTTAGCTCCTTACTAAAGCAGGGTATTTTATGGAGGGATAGCATGGCATGTGGGAACTGTACAACCTGGTGCCTGGTGGTATGTTTTATTTTAAGCCCTCCTGAATGTTTTGTGTGTAATGTTCTGCTCACATGTTATTGCTACCTGGTGGTGATCATCCCCTATGGAGTATCTGGTTAATAAATTACATCATTATCAGTTGTGTGCATTTAATACAATTAGGTGAGTCCAGGAGATGAATCAACTTGCAGTTTTAAGCTCTGCTGCAGCTGTTAAGGCCATAATTAGCAAAAGAAGAATATAATTGAATGGCTTAATCACAATGTATGATTAGCCTTGTATATATATATACTGAATTGAGGAGGTTACAATTTAGGAAGGTAGAATAATAATAAAATCAAATATAAGAAAATATGCCTAAAATCCTGTAATTACATAATATATGGGATTCTCATATTCCAACACTCCCCCTCAAGTTGGTTCCAAGATATTCACTAATCCCAGCTTGATAATGGAAGACTATAATAAGGTTGGACCAACCGATTTGGTGAACATATTAGCGAGCTGCTCCGATGAAGAGACAAATGATGGACTTCTAACATTCGTCCTAACATTTTCCCTAATAAAATGAATATCCACTTCTATATGTTTTCTCCTCTCATGAAGAACTGAATCTGAAGCTAACATAATTGCAGACTTATTGTCACAGAACAAAAGCGATGAGGTATTCTCCTTAAAGCCCAATTTAGCAAGAATAGATCTGACCCACAATATCCTACAAATACCTTGTGTCATGGCACGATATTCAGTCTCAACGGAAGATCTAGTGACAACTGCTTGTTTCTTACTCTTCCATGATATAAAATGATTGCCATAGAAGATACACAATCCAGAGTTAGAGCGCTGATGAGTTTTGGAGCCAGCATAATCGACATCAGTGAAACAAGACAACCTAGACTGCAAGCCTGCGGGAAGAATAGCCCTAAACCAGGAGTAGTCTTCAAATATCGCAAGATATGATAAACTACATCAAGATGAGTAGTACGAGGTGCATGCAAAACTGACTCACAGCATTCACAACAAATGTCAAGTCCGGTCTAGTATTGGTCAGATAAATCAATCAACCCACTAAACATTGATACATACCTGGATCACTTAATAACTCACCAGTTTCAGCCGTAAGCTTCAGATTAGGATCCATAAGAGTAGAGGTAGGTTTACAACCCATCAAACTGGTATCTTGAAGAAGATCCAAGGTATACTTCCGTTGAGACAAGGAAATCCCTTGGCGAGAACGAGCAATCTCAATACCAAGAAAGTACTTGAGAGGACCTAGATCTTTGATGTCAAAAACGTGGTTAAGATCCTTTTTAACTTGAGCAATTCCTGTAGCATCATCACCAGTAAGAATAATATCATCAACATAGACAAGCAAAATGATACATCGTCCATTCGCTTGCCGCCTAATGAAGAAGGTATGATCAGAGTGACATTGAATGAAACCCATAGACAAGATAACCTTGCTGAACTGACTGAGCCAAGCCTGAGGAGAATGTTTCAGACCATACAAAGATTTGCGAAGACGACACACTTTCCCCGCATACTCCCGCTTAGTCCAAAAAACTGTGTGGAGGATCCATATAGATAGTCTCAAGTAATTCCCCACGTACAAAAGCATTTTTGACATCAAGTTGATGAAGAGGCCAAGAGTGAGCAGCCACTAAGGAAACAAGAAGTCGAACAGAGGTCAACTTTGCCACTGGCACAAGTGTAGCCCCAAAATCTTGGCCAGGGACGTGGGTGTAGCCTTTGGCAACCAAACGAGCTTTATAGTGACCCACAGACCCATCAGGTGATAGCCCAACCCGTATTATGCTAAATTATGCATGTGATTATGTGTTTGATATGAATTTGCATGTTTAATTATATGATTTATGTGATTTTGGAATTATATCTGTTACTTGTAGGAAAATCTGCTGCAATTATAACTTTGAACTAAAAATTGAAAGCCTTAGAGGTGCCAGAAACCAAAATTGACTTCATATCTGTGTTTAGCATGATTTTTAGAGCCTACTGTGAAATTTTGTAAAATTACAATTCGTAATGAATTAATTGAGTTTAATTAGAATAAATTAACTTAAGTTCAATTAGCTTAAGGGATATATATGTATATAGACATTAAGGCTTAGTAGGAAGTCTTGAGCTCATCTTTTATGAACAAAACACTTGCTAAAGAGGGTTAGAGAGAGAGGAAGAAGAGAACTCCTAGAGTTGAAGAAGAAGAGCAAGGGAGATTGTTAGATTCAAGGGGTAAACTCAAGATTTGAGCTAAGGTATGAAAATCCCTCTAGAGTCCTTGTGATAACTCGTCTTTTGTTTGAAATCAAAAAGGAATTTGAAGATTTGTGACCTATATAAGTTAGGGTTTGGGTTGTGTGATTGTTTGAACTAAATTCAAGAAATTGAGCCTTAATCTCTTTAACTTTGCTTGATTTGAGATCAATCTTGTGAATACTTCATGAAATGAGCTCTAGGTTTTTCATACAACAAAGATTTGTGTAAAGATCATCCATGTCTATATGTATTTTGAACTTGATCATGTGATTTTTGAATTATGGAAAAGATGAGACTTTGATTTTGGACTTTAAGCAAGATTGATGTGTTTAAGTTGAAATTACACTTGAATCATGTTAACATATCATGTTTTTAAGTTAGTTTTGCATGAATTTGGGCTTGGAAATGAGTATGAAAGATTACACTTTGTGCCATTTTCGGACTGTTTGGTTTTTGCCCAGATCGCTCGTGCAGCTGCGAGCTTCGCACGAGCGGAACATGAACAAAATCTGTGGTTGCATTCTGCTCGCTCGAGCGGCTGACACTTCCGCACAAGCAGAGCTTGACCGCTCGAGCGGTGAGGCCTTTCGCACGAGCAGCCAGCAGGGAAAAATCTTGCTTTCCTTTTCGTTGACCTCTCTGACCTTCTGAGCGCATTTTTGACCTTATTTAAACACTCCAGAAAATGAAATGATGATTAGAAACCCATTGAAAAATGATGTGAATTATTAAAAGAAAAGTGTATGAAATGGAATGAATTATTTATCGAATGTGCATGTGTGATATGTTGTGTAGGTCGCTTGCACGAGAAATCATCGCAAGTCCAAAATCACTGTGAGTAATATGTTTTCATAAATATGTTCTTATTTACTCTTTTGAAAACAATATGAATGTTATATAGATAGATCTCTGAAATTGTCTTATGTTGAGATATGAGTAAGTCCCGATGAATGCTTTACGAATGTTAGGGAATGCTTTACGAATGGTTTATGAATGAATGATGAATAAATGATATGTAGACCCGAGGTCGTTCCGTTTACGATATGATGTGATATGTTGGGCTTGAGGCTGTTTTGATATATGTGGACCCGAGGTCATTTTGATATGTGTAGGCTTGAGGCCGTTTTGATATATGTGGGCCCGAGGCCGTTTTGTTATATGTGGGCCGGAGGCCGCCTTAATATATTGGACTCGAGGTCGTTTTGTATGTTTAGGGCCCGAGACCATTTTGTATAATTGGACCTGACCTCGTTTCGGAGCATGTTGAAGCCAAGACCGCTTGTCAAAATTGAGTATGAAGAAAACTATGAATTGTTTTACTTCCGAAAACTTATGGTCGTATGTTAAATACTTTCCTTGATTCAGATTCATTTGTTAATCCTATGCATTGTTATTACTCACTGAGCTTCGCTCACTCCCTATTTTATATGTATGTAGGTGATTAGCCTTAGAGTCAACCTCAGGAATTGTTCATGTGGACCTGTCATGCCAACTTCCAAGATGGAGCTTTTGTTTTTTTGGGTGTTCTGTTTTGTGTTAAGTCTTCTATTTGGTTTTTATTTACATAATGTTGATGATTCCAATGTATATAAGTTGCGTTTGGAAATTATGGTATGTGTATGAGAGTTCATCTTGATCATTTAAGCATTGCTCAATTGACGTTGTTTATAATATTTGCTTTCGCTTAAGGCCCCATTATGTTAAAAATTTGTTTTTTGTATGTGGCCATAGGTAATCATGTGATTACTGGCCGGTTATGAACCAAACTTTTAGGGGCGGATTTGGGTCATGACACATTAGCAAGATACTTAACAGTGAATACCCACTTATACCCAACCGTCTTGGTAGAAGGAGACAACGGAACAAGCTCCCATGTCTGATTGTGTTCTAATGCATCCATTTTAGCCTGAGTAGTTGCCACCCACTTAGGATTCTGGAGGGCCTCAGAGACAGAGCGAGGGATAGAGAGACACTCAAGTTTGCCCAAAAAAGAGCAACAAAAACTTGTAAGACCATCATAAGACAAACACTGGGAAATAGGATGATTAGTATTACAAAGCCAACCATAACGGGAAGGGGGGTGACGCTCTCTGTCAGGATAATGAGAGAAGCGAGTAGGTGCAATAAGAGAAGGTGACTTATCTGATCTGAGAGGAGAATAGGAGGTTGGGACGGGTGTAAACCTACAAAGGTGGGATAGATGGAAGAGATGGAGGAAGGCTAGGAGCAGGGTAATTATCCGAAGCGTCAGAGATATCTGTATCAAAGATGGGAACAAGACAAGTAGAGGGAGACTGGGGAGATGGAGGAACAAGACTAGGAACAAGCAAAGGAATGTTAGAACCAAAAAATGGAAAAATCCTCACAAAAAGTAACATCTGAAGAATGATAAAAATGACGAGGCACTAGATCATAACACCTATACCATTTAGATAAAGAAGAATACCCCAGAAAAATGCAACGGATAGCATTGTCATCTAGCGTAGTGCGGGTAGGACTATGATTCTGAACAAAACAAGTACACCCAAACACACGAGGAAGGAGAGGAAACATAGTGCTATCAGGCCTAAGGACTTGAAAAGCAGCGAGGCCTTGCAGGCCATAACTCGTGGTGCGGTTAATTAGATGAACAACAGTAAGAACAACCATATGCCAGTATAACTTTTGAACATTCATATCACGAAGAAGACATCGAACCACAGACATAATATGGCGATTTTTATGTTTAGCCACCCCATTTTGTTCAGGCGTATAAGGACAAGTGAGTTGTTGGAGAATACCCGCTAGATAAAGATGGGAGCAAAAAGCATCCGAGATGTACTCCCCTCCGTTATCAGAGCGGATATTTCGGACAATAGACTTAAATTGGGTTTTAATCATTTGTAAAAATTGAACAAAAATGGGGAAAACCTCAGATTTACACTGAAGAAGATAAACCCATGTACATCGAGTGTGGTCATCAATAAAAGTTACATAATATCTATGGCCTGACAAAGCAAGTACAGGAGATGGACCCCAAACATGAGAATGAATGAGATCAAAGGCATACGGTGCACGAGTCATGTGAGGAATATAATTATTACGTGTATGTTTAGCCAACTCACAAACCACACAATGAAAATAAGAATCCTTACAAGCTTTATTTAAAGAAGGAAAAAGTAAACATAAATATTGAAAGTTTGCATGACCTAAATGAGTGCCATAAGACTAAAGTTTGACTAGAAAAAACACAAGACACTGAAGTAGGCAAAACAAACACTTGTAAACTAGATAAAGGAGGTGGTGGTGGTGGCGGCGGCGGCGAAGGAGGTGGGTCCCTGAAGTAAATACAGCCCATAGCGCTCATATCCCCTATCAAAAATCCTCTTCTAACTCAGGTCTGTAAAACACAAGTGGGTAAGAAAATGATGACACAATTAAAAGTTTTGGCAAGACGACTAACAAATAACAGATTATAGGATAATTTAGGAACATCATGAAGAACAAATGAGAAATATATTAAGAGATAAAGATACAACACCTTTATGGCTCACAGAAGAGAGAGAGCCATATGCACGACAGATAGTTTGATCCATAGTAAGGGGGACCAGAGAAGAAAGAAAAAAAAACTCACCAGTCATATGATCATTAACCCCTGAGTCTAGAACCTACATGGGACGAGCAGACCGAACATGGAAAGCAGTAGAAGTACCTGTAGCAAGGGTAGCTGTGGATGGGGCCGACTGATGAGTAGTGAGAGAGCCAAGCTAGGCTTGAAGTTGGCCAATCTGAGTTTGAAGATGATGTAGGTCGGGAGCACTAGATGGCACTGTAACAGGTACGGATTCTACAACAGCTGTAGTGCAAGTGGAAACCCAAGTATTTAGCATTAGCTAACTAGTTGGCACAGCTGCTGCCTCATAATAAGCATGACCATTTTGATGACTGTGTCTTAGTTCCTGGGTAGGCTGTAGTTTTAATATCTTTCCATCCTTTTTATTTTTAAAATGCTATCGTTGTACTGGGTAGAACTTCAAAAAGAGCTTGAATAGAATGAACATGGTTCAACCACTTTCTTGTGCTACTTTGTGGTGTAGATACTGGAACTGGTGTGAAATCATTCATTTAGTTCCTCTTGCATGTTGATGGTAAAAATTATTCCTATAAAATAACACACCAGTGTGGCCCCCAAAAAGGTTTTTGGATGAATGATGATTGATACCCGATGAACGTTGAAACAAGTTAGGAGAAAAATGGTATATAAGTGAGATGGTGATTGTTTTCAATGGGTTAAAGGCCACAGTCCCTGTATGCTGTTAGATGCTAAATTTAATTTTATGCAGGAAAAATTGCCACCCACAGATTCAAGGCTCAGACCTGAGCAGAGGTGCTTAGAAAATGGGGAGTATGACATGTTCAGAGAAGTTGCGGCTTGAGCAGAGACAGCGGCAGGTAAATTGTTGGGTTTTTGCTGTCTTGTTAAACAATTCTTGGTTTAGCTCCTAATGCAAAGCCTAATTTCTAAGGTAGACAATATGGTGCCTGTTTAGTATCAGACTTTTATTTTGTGATGCTGGGAGCAAAGACTTTGGATGTATGTTCCTCCCAACTGGTTGCTTCAAATTTTTTTGGTAAGTAGACCATGGACTTTAGACATTAACTATAATCAATGGGAGTTATTATGCAGCCAAATTTCTGCAATTATACATATGTACATAGGCATTTAATATATTTACTGGATGATCATATCGAGAAATGCTCTGGCCTGGTCAAAGAATTAGGAGAAATCAACCAAAGTTTTTGGGATGTTATTGATTGATATCTGTTGGTTAGATTGGTTTTGAAGATCATTAATTTGGTGCATGGCATAAGATGCTTTAGTTTGTAGTTCATATTAGCAAAATAAATTTAATTTGAATTTTCATTAATTCATGAGTGATTTCCTTTTTCCTCCTCTAGTATGGCTTATATAATACATCAAATTAGAGTAGTTTCCTTGTTTCAAAGCTCTCTTTACAGTTGGCTATTTGCTATAAATTGCTTAGATGGGTGTTAGTAGTATGGAGAGGTAGTAGTGAGGGGTATATCATGTAACATGTCCCTTTGCATAAACAACTGTTTCACTGATTTCTACTATTGAAAATTTACAGTGAAAATCGCTTGGCATTTGATGTTGAATTATTGAATAACGGAATTTTGTTTCAATGGAGTCCAGGCTCGTAAGATGCAAGAGAGTGGGTGGTCTTACACAGACTTGGGTAGAACTCAACTCCAAAAGCTAGCTATTGAGGTGAGGATGCAGTATTCTTAACATTACTTTAGTACTCATGCAATTCGATTCAGGTGGAAACTCAGGTGCTTTGCAAAGGAGAAAGGAAAAGATACCTACCGCATTATCAGTGGTTATTGGGAGGCTAGACAGAAGGGAAGTTGGGATTTTTGTGCTGATATCTTCTGTTATTTTCGTTTCAATCAGATATTGGACAGAGTACGCCCAAATCATTTTCTCTACATTTCTCTCTTCTTTCTTTCATATATTTTTGTCAACAGATTAGATAGGCTGCCAAGGATTGCTGATATGAGCCATTTAGGTTGGTGTAACATGCATGTCAGTATCTAGCGGAGGTGTCAGCAGGTAATAAAAGTCTTAGTTTGAATTTCGCGACTCACATTTCAATTTTATATCGTTGCTGATGGAAGGCAGTTGTTTGATCTTTGATGCGTTTATTGCAAATTCAAATGCATATTTATTATCTGATTATTTATGTTGCTGCCAAACCCCTCTTTAGAACTAGATTGCCAATGGATAATAAACACCAACTTTCCATTCTCTTGGAAGATTAGGACACAGATTTGAACCCCAGCCAATTCCTGGTGGTATTTAGGAGAATCCCATTGAAGATCTTATGCTTTGTTTGGATCTTGGATTTGCTGGGAAAAAAATAAGAAAGGAAAATGAAGTTAAATATGCTAAATTTTCTCTTTTTCAGTTGGGATAGGAATACGAGAAGAAAATATATAGATATATGTCAAAAAATCTATTTTTTTATTTGTTTAGTTACACATGAAAAATAAATAAGTAAATTCATATCCTTTTTCATTTTGGATCGGCTGACGCTATGTTTGGATACGCAAGAGTTGGAGTGGATGTAATTGTAGATTATGAAGTGAAGGAAGGACAATGGCATCCTTGTTTGGTTAGACAACAATAATAATAATCTATTCTAATACATAAAGTGAAGGCTGTTGGTGGTGTTGACACATTTGTGTCTCATATTTTGAGTTTTCCTAAAATACTCCTGTAGTTGATGTCTATGTAAAAAGGAAGACAAGACTTGAAGCTAAGATCACGAGTTTGACAAAGCTAGTCCTTACCACTTGAGTATCAAACACTATATATGTGCATTTTTCTTTATCATTATTCTTGTAATAATTATAAATAGAAGGGAGGTGTAGATGCTAAATAGGCGACGTTTAAAATAATCTATATTTTTTGTTTTCAAAAAATAAATTTATAATATTAAATTTAGTTTTTTGACAATTTGCTCATGAAGGATGTTCAAAAATGTAATTGGCTCCCTAAAAGATCAATTTGAGCAAATTGTCCTACAAAACATGGTTAAAGTGTAATTGGCCCCCTTACAAAACCTATTGGAACAAATTGCCCTTGGATTTTATTTAATTGTAACAATGCCCGTCGTAAACTAACTGTTATTTACCGTTTATGTTTTTATTTTTCTGAATTGTGCGAGGAATTTCAGTTAATCTTTTGCTTCTCCGTTTTTGAGTTGTACAAGTATTGGTCTTTATTTTTTGAAGACAATGGGGGAGTCATGTGAGAGAGAGAGTTTGGTGCCAAAAAATAAGGTATGGTAGTTTCATTTTTACTATCTTTTAGTTCAAAAAAAGAAGATTTTCATTTTTACTCTTCTCTGCCCATTTAAAATTGCATGTGTATGGTATGTGTTGTGAAAATAGATGAAAAGATGAACAGTAATTAGTTCATGGAGATGTTAGAATTGAATTTAATTTAAGGGCAATTTGCTTCATGATCATTTCGGGTCAATTACAACATTTTTTCAAGGATAATTTTGTTTTAAAAACAAACAAATTATCAAAACCCTGAAAATTATATTTAAAAATCAGCACTATGTCCCATTTCCTTCCTCTATTCCTTGTCACACCAAACATACTCTTCACAACCTCTCCGCGTGTATTTTGCCTTTTCGTAAAATAAACCAAACATGGTGAATGTTAACATTTTTACTCTATTTTTCACTACACCTCAATCCAAATACAGTTTTGGAGGCTATGCGATTGACTAAGATAGATTTTGGTAAAGTTTTACAGTTGTTTTTCTTGTATTTTTTATTGTTATTGTTATTATTATTATTATTGTTAATCAGCGAAAGTCATGAAACATGTTTGTGCTTATTTTTACTAACATTAAAAAAAAAAAAAAAAGAAGGTATTTTGTACACAAATGTTTTCAAAATATACAAATAATAAATTTTTTTTTTTTTAAATATGTGGTGAGTTGTTGGAGGGCTTGCATGATGATTGTTGGAAGCTAGGGGTGCTCAGTGGATATGCCGATCCGTTCAACCCACCTAGCCTAAATGGAACTACCATGTCTTGGGTGGATGCGTGACATTGAACGGGCGGATACGGGCCCAAAATTTCACATTTCGTGGGTGTGGATTAGGTTGCGGTTAATCCGTCAATGAGCTGCTTCTACCCGACCTGTCCCCCCCTCTCTCTGTCTCTCTCTTCCCTTGCTGTTGTGCCCCCCTTTCAGGCTGAATTGACCAAAATCAAACCCTAAAACCTATTATGCTTCAGCACACAATGGAAGTGGTGGCCAAAGGGAGGGGGTGAGGAAGGAATGCAAATAAAAAAATAAAAAATAAAAAAATCTAAAATTGTGTATTTTGAAAATTATCAAATGTTTATTTCTTGTAAAAACAAAAATTATGGAGGTTTTTGAATCCTGATGGGACTTTCGTCCTTATGTCAAAATGTGGACTATCAGATTGAAAATGCCTTACTCTCATTTGTCTCATTTGGACATTCTAATGGTTCAGATCAATTTTAAAATTTCAATGGTTCAGGCTGCTCACACCTCAACTCTCTCACATGAGTCACATCTCACATACATCTTCCCTTGCCTTCTCTCTGATTTTGATTTCAAAATTTAAAACTCATTCTCTTTCACACCTCTTCCTCGTTCTCTTCCCACCACACATCTTCTTTCCACCAAGCTTTCTCTCTCTAGAAGTTTAAGTAAGCTCCGGTGGTGATTTCCGAAATATAGCTCCGATGGAATATAGCCCTGCTAAGAGAGGGTGATTTCTACCATTTGGCTCAATGTTTGCCTCCTCTCTCTCTCTACACAGCTCCAAGGTAGAAGGTTAAATCCCTACTTCCCCCCCTCCTTCTGTTATTGTTCTATTAGGTTTGTTATTATTCAATCTTTGCCTCCGCTCTGTCTAATCTTTTTTTTTTGGAAGAGGGTGTCAAAATCTAGGGTTTTTATTTGGATTCTGGATTTTGATATGACAATCAATATCTCTCTCTCTCTCTCTCTCTCATTTTTTTACCCTCCTTTATTTGGGTTTTTTTTTTTATTTTTTATTTTTATTTTTTTATCAACTGAAAAACTATTCTTTTTATTAGATGTAGTTTCTACAAAAATATTTTTGTCTTGTTTGGTTGCTGAGGAAGTGGCAAAAAAAGTAAAGAAAGTGAAATTTTGGTTACTGTTATTTCTGGGTTTTGCTGAAAGGTCTATTATGATTATATTTTTGTCAAAATTAAAATTTTTAGTGGGCTTTGTACTTAAGGGTTTCCTTTGGCTAATCGTTGGTTACTGTGTTTAGTTGCAGAGAAAGCGGGGAAAAGAAAAGAAAGTGAAGTGTTGATGTTCTTAATTGTTATTTTTCTTAATTGACTTGGGTTATTTGTTTCGAGCCCCATTAATATATCTCTTTATATTTTTTTTTCTGCTCTATCTTTAAGCACCATTATGTTTTCTACTTCATATGATGCAGCAACTTCGATGGCGGCAATGGAGCAAAATAAGGTTCTGGGTATTCATCTTAGTCTTGCTGGCTCTGTTTCGGTGTCTTGATCTTGCTAGCTCTGTTCAAGGATATCCCAAACAGGCATTTTAATTAGTTAGTAAATCAAATGCAATAATGATAATAATAATTCAAATCTATTAATAGGTAAATGCAAGACGAATAAATAAGATATTAGAAAACATCAAATGCAAGACGAGAGTGTAAGTTTTTAGGGGGTAATCAAATGGCCTTCCATGAATTGAGTTTCTGGATCAGATATAGTGGGTTTTGAAATGGATGGTAGGAGAATTACCATCGGTCCTTGGCTGTGATGGCCAAGAAAGGTTTGATTGTGGGTGGGTTTTGTTTCTCATGTATATTGTGTATTTGATTTGGTTTGTCAAATGGTATTTTGTATTTGTGGATTTTGTTCTTTGATTTTGATTCATTGAAATTTTGTTGCTAAATTTGGCAGCTAAGTTTGTACTATAGAGAAATTTATCATGTGCTCCCTCCCTCTAAAACTTATTAATGCTTTTATGGGTTTTTTTTTTTTTAATTTTTTTTATAATTTTTTTAAGAAAGAAGCTTTGTTGTGAACCTTTGAGAGCTATATTTGTTTTCTATAGCATTGTTTTCTAATTGGGAAATATAATTGATTTTACTTGAAATAGTAATTGGGTCTTTCATGTTCAAAAATTCACTTAATATGGAAAGTTGAAAGAGTGAAATAAAAAAAAATTAGTTTAAACTGGAAGTACTATAACAAATGAGTATATGTTTTCTTTTGTTTTATCTGTTGTTATTTTTCTCTTTTACACTGTAGTAGTGGGTATGTAAATGGAACTTAGTTATCAAAGCCAAAACATGCATATTAGTTATTCAAAACTCGGAAACTACTCATTTCAATTTACATGTCCGTATATTTATGGGTCTAATTTCTCTTTGGGGTTTAATCACTGAGTTTATTGTTTGATTTGGAATGGAGGGTGAAGGGAAATTAATCAAAATTTTGAATTTTAGATTTATTTCAATCTATAACATTAGGAAACAAAAGTTGATGCTTATTAGTTGATTGGAATCACAGGTAGAGGGAAAGATATCTATCTGATTAGATAAACGGGGAACACCGTGAAAATTGAAAGTTACTATGGGATGTAATATTTAAGGGATGCAAGAAAATTGACAGCTTATGAATTTTGTTTCCTTCTTTTTATTTTTATTTATTTATTTTTTAAATTGATAACAACCTTTGAATAATATTTTTATGGGAACTGTAAATGATCATCTTTAAACCAATTGTTCTTTATTGTTTTTTGTCTTGATATTTCATATAGAATTTCATTTGATATTATATGCCAGATTTTTTTGATATTCTATACATGATTTCTTTTGTATTCCAAGCATGGAGTTTTTCTTAATTGATTATGAAAAGAATATTAAAATTATTGTTACTGTTAATGTTGCAATGAGAATGCTGAAACTAGCTATTTGGTTACTTCTTTTGCATTTGAGGCAACAAAATTGAAATAACTTTTATACTAGAAACAACTTCTAAAATGCCAAAAAAGGCAATTTAGTATTTCATTCACCAACTGTATTATTTTGCAGTATTCTTAACATTACTTTAGTACTCATGCAATTCGATTCAGGTGGAAACTCAGGTGCTTTGCAAAGGAGAAAGGAAAAGATACCTACCGCATTATCAGTGGTTATTGGGAGGCTAGACAGAAGGGAAGTTGGGATTTTTGTGCTGATATCTTCTGTTATTTTCGTTTCAATCAGATATTGGACAGAGTACGCCCAAATCATTTTCTCTACATTTCTCTCTTCTTTCTTTCATATATTTTTGTCAACAGATTAGATAGGCGGCCAAGGATTGCTGATATGAGCCATTTAAGTTGGTGTAACATGCATGTCAGTATCTAGCGGAGGTGTCAGCAGGTAATAAAAGTCTTAGTTTGAATTTCACGACTCACATTTCAATTTTATATCGTTGCTGATGGAAGGCAGTTGTTTGATCTTTGATGCGTTTATTGCAAATTCAAATGCATATTTATTATCTGATTATTTATGTTGCTGCCAAACCCCTCTTTAGAACTAGATTGCCAATGGATAATAAACACCAACTTTCCATTCTCTTGGAAGATTAGGACACAGATTTGAACCCCAGCCAATTCCTGGTGGTATTTAGGAGAATCCCATTGAAGATCTTATGCTTTGTTTGGATCTTGGATTTGCTGGGAAAAAAATAAGAAAGGAAAATGAAGTTAAATATGCTAAATTTTCTCTTTTTCAGTTGGGATAGGAATATGAGAAGAAAATATATAGATATATGTCAAAAAATCTATTTTTTTATTTGTTTAGTTACACATGAAAAATAAATAAGTAAATTCATATCCTTTTTCATTTTGGATCGGCTGACGCTATGTTTGGATACGCAAGAGTTGGAGTGGATGTAATTGTAGATTATGAAGTGAAGGAAGGACAATGGCATCCTTGTTTGGTTAGACAACAATAATAATAATCTATTCTAATACATAAAGTGAAGGCTGTTGGTGGTGTTGACACATTTGTGTCTCATATTTTGAGTTTTCCTAAAATACTCCTGTAGTTGATGTCTATGTAAAAAAGAAGACAAGACTTGAAGCTAAGATCACGAGTTTGACAAAGCTAGCCCTTACCACTTGAGTATCAAACACTATATATGTGCATTTTTCTTTATCATTATTCTTGTAATAATTATAAATAGAAGAGAGGTGTAGATGCTAAATAGGCGGCGTTTAAAATAATTTATATTTTTTGTTTTCAAAAAATAAATTTATAATATTAAATTTAGGTTTTTGACAATTTGCTCATGAACGATGTTCAAAAATGTAATTGGCTCCCTAAAAGATCAATTTGAGCAAATTGTCCTACAAAACATGGTTAAAGTGTAATTGGCCCCCTTACAAAACCTATTGGAACAAATTGCCCTTGGATTTTATTTAATTGTAACAATGCCCGTCGTAAACTAACTGTTATTTACCGTTTATGTTTTTATTTTTCTGAATTGTGCGAGGAATTTCAGTTAATCTTTTGCTTCTCCGTTTTTGAGTTGTACAAGTATTGGTCTTTATTTTTTGAAGACAATGGGGGAGTCATGTGAGAGAGAGAGTTTGGTGCCAAAAAATAAGGTATGGTAGTTTCATTTTTACTATCTTTTAGTTCAAAAAAAGAAGATTTTCATTTTTACTCTTCTCTGCCCATTTAAAATTGCATGTGTATGGTATGTGTTGTGAAAATAGATGAAAAGATGAACAGTAATTAGTTCATGGAGATGTTAGAATTGAATTTAATTTAAGGGCAATTTGCTTCATGATTACGGGTCAATTACAACATTTTTTCAAGGATAATTTTGTTTTAAAAACAAACAAATTATCAAAACCCTGAAAATTATATTTAAAAATCAGCACTATGTCCCATTTCCTTCCTCTATTCCTTGTCACACCAAACATACTCTTCACAACCTCTCCGCGTGTATTTTGCCTTTTCGTAAAATAAACCAAACATGGTGAATGTTAACATTTTTACTCTATTTTTCACTACACCTCAATCCAAATACAGTTTTGGAGGCTATGCGATTGACTAAGATAGATTTTGGTAAAGTTTTACAGTTGTTTTTCTTGTATTTCTTATTGTTATTATTATTATTATTATTAATCAGAGAAAGTCATGAAACGTGTTTATGCTTATTTTTACTAACATAAAAAAAAAAAGAAGGTATTTTTGTACACAAATGTTTTCAAAATATACAAATAATTTTTTTTTTTTTTTAATTATGTGGTGAGTTGTTGGAGGGCTTGCATGATGATTGTTGGAAGCTAGGGGTGCTCAGTGAATATGTCGATCCGTTCAACCCACCTAGCCTAAATGGAACTATCATGTTTTGGGTGGATGCGTGACATTGAACGGGCGGATACGGGCCCAAAATTTCACATTTCGTGGGTGTGGATCAAGTTGCGATTAATCCGCCAATGAGCTGCTTCTACCCGTCCCTCTCTCTCTCTCTCTCTCTCTCTTCCCTTGCTGTCGTGCCCCCCTTTTAGGCTGAATTGACCAAAATCAAACCCTAAAACCTATTATGCTTCAGTACACAATGGAAGCGGTGGCCAAAGGGAGGGGGTGAGGAAGGAATGCAAATAAAAAAATAAAAAAATAAAAAATCTAAAATTGTGTATTTTGAAAATTATCAAATGTTTATTTCTTGTAAAAACAAAAATTATGGAGGTTTTTGAATCCTGATGGGACTTTCGTCCTTGTGTCAAAATGTGGACTATCAGATTGATTCAATCCAAGTGTTGAAAATGCCTTACTCTCATTTGTCTCGTTTGGACATTCTAATGGTTCAGATCAATTTTAAAATTTAAATGGTTCAGGCTTCTCACACCTTAACTCTCTCACATGAGTCGCATCTCACATACATCTTCCCTCGCATTCTCTCTGATTTTGATTTCAAAATTTGAAACTCATTCTCTTTCACACCTCTTCCTCTTTCTCTTCCCACCACACATCTTCTTTCCACCAAGCTTTCTCTCTCTAGAAGTTTAAGTAATCTCCGGTGGTGATTTTCGAAATATAGCTCCGATGGAATATAGCTCTACTGAGAGAGGGTGATTTCTACCATTTGGCTCAATGTTTGCCTCCTCTCTCTCTGCACAGCTCCAAGGTAGAAGGTTAAATCCCTACTTCCCCCCCTCCTTCTGTTATTGTTCCATTAGGTTTGTTATTATTCAATCTTTGCCTCCGCTCTGTCTAATCTAGACAACTCCCTGTTAGGTTTTTTTTTTTTTTTTTTTTTTTTTTTTTTGGGGCTTTTTTTTTTTTTTTTTAAAAAAAAAATTTTAATATTAAATTTGAATAAAAAATTAATGAAAAGTTTCATATGATACTATGTGTTCCAATGCTAATTTTTTAATTTTTATCAAATAATGGAAGAGGGTGTCAAAATCTAGGGTTTTTATTTGGATTCTGGATTTTGATATGACAATCAATATGTGCTGCCTCTCTCTCTCTCTCTCTCTCTCTCTTTCTCTCTCTCTCTCTCTCACACTCATTTTTTTACCCTCCTTTATTTGGGTTTTTTTTATTTATTTTTTATTTTTTATCAACTGAAAAACTATTCTTTTTATTAGATGTAGTTTCTACAAAAATATTTCTGTCTTGTTTGGTTGCTGAGAAAGTGGCAAAAAAAGTAAGAAAGTGAAATTTTGGTTACTGTCATTTCTGGGTTTTGCTGAAAGGTCTATTATGATTATATTTTTGTCAAAATTAAAATTTTTAGTGGGCTTTGTACTTAAGGGTTTCCTTTGGCTAATCGTTGGTTACTGTGTTTAGTTGCAGAGAAAGCGGGGAAAAGAAAAGAAAGTGAAGTGTTGATGTTCTTAATTGTTATTTTCCTTAATTGGCTTGGGTTATTTGTTTCGAGCACCATTAATATATCTCTTTATATTTTTTTTTCTGCTCTATCTTTAAGCACCATTATGTTTTCTACTTCATATGATGCAGCAACTTCGATGGCGGCAATGGAGCAAAATAAGGTTCTGGGTATTCATCTTAGTCTTGCTGGCTCTGTTTCGGTGTCTTGATCTTGCTAGCTCTGTTCAAGGATATCCCAAACAGGCATTTTAATTAGTTAGTTAATCAAATGCAATAATAATAATAATAATTCAAATCTATTAATAGGTAAATGCAAGACGAATAAATAAGATATTAGAAAACATCAAATGCAAGACGAGAGTGTAAGTTTTTAGGGGGTAATCAAATGGCCTTCCATGAATTGAGTTTCTGGATCAGATATAGTGGGTTTTGAAATGGATAGTAGGAGAATTACCACCGGTCCTTGGCTGTGATGGCCAAGAAAGGTTTGATTGTGGGTTGGTTTTGTTTCTCATGTATATTGTGTATTTGATTTGGTTTGTCAAATAGTATTTTGTATTTGTGGATTTTGTTCTTTGATTTTGATTCATTGAAATTTTGTTGCTAAATTTGGCAGCTAAGTTTTTACTATAAAGAAATTTATCGTGTGCTCCCTCCCTCTAAAACCTATTAATGCTTTTATGGGTTTTTTTTAAAAAATTTTTTTTATAAATTTTTTAAGAAAGAAGCTTTGTTGTGAACCTTTGAGAGCTATATTTGTTTTCTATACCATTGTTTTCTAATTGGGAAATATAATTGATTTTACTTGAAATAGTAATTGGGTCTTTCATGTTCAAAAATTCACTTAATATGGAAGGTTAAAAGAGTGAAATAAAAAAAAAAAAAAAAGTTTAAACTGGAAGTACTATAACAAATGAGTATATGGTTTCTTTTGTTTTTTCTGTTGTTATTTTTCTCTTTTACACTGTAGTAGTGGGTTTGTAAATGGAACTTAGTTATCAAAGCCAAAACATGCATATTAGCTATTCAAAACTCGGAAACTACTCATTTCAATTTACATGTCCGTATATTTATGGGTCTAATTTCTCTTTGGGGTTTAATCACTGAGTTTATTGTTTGATTTGGAATGGAGGGTGAAGGGAAATTAATCAAAATTTTGAATTTTAGATTTATTTCAATCTATAACATTAGGAAACAAAAGTTGATGCTTATTAGTTGATTGGAATCACAGGTAGAGGGAAAGATATCTATCTGATTAGATAAACGGGGAACACCGTGAAAATTGAAAGTTACTATGGGATGTAATATTTAAGGGATGCAAGAAAATTGACAGCTTATGAATTTTGTTTCCTTCTTTTTATTTTTATTTATTTATTTTTTAAATTGATAACAACCTTTGAATAATATTTTTATGGGAACTGTAAATGATCATCTTTAAACCAATTGTTCTTTATTGTTTTTTGTCTTGATATTTCATATAGAATTTCATTTGATATTATATGCCAGATTCTTTTCATATTCTATACAGGATTTCTTTTGTATTCCAAGCATGGAGTTTTTCTTAATTGATTATGAAAAGAATATTAAAATAGCAATTGATTTATTATATTATTACTGTTAATGTTGCAATGAGAATGCTGAAACTAGCTATTTGGTTACTTCTTTTGCATTTGAGGCAACAAAATTGAAATAACTTTTATACTAGAAACAACTTCTAAAATGCCAAGAAAGGCAATTTAGTATTTCATTCACCAACTGTATTATTTAATTTTATTTGACAGTAAATTTAAGAACATATGAGATGTTAATATACTCTGTGTGTTATTGGTTAGTTCCTGGGAGAGTTAGGGGAAAGGAACCCATGTGAATAAACTTTAATGAATTGATTTAATTTTTTTTGGGTATTGAAAGAATGATTCTAGTGGAATATTTATGATTGAATTACTCTTCAAGGTTTTGAAAATATAATTTTTAAGATTTTATATATACACCACCGAGTTTTATACAATTTTTTTCCTCATTTAATGTTGAGTTGTATATACTATCGAATACTTAGGCACAGAGTTTTGTTGAGGGGTGTCTTTAGGCATGAGTTATCACCATATTGTCTATCTTGTTTTGTATCAGTGTCAAAAAGCATTCATTAATCTTTTAAGAGAATACAATTTGATTTGAAATTTGCATTGTTTAAACTTACGGTTCCTACACATTGTGTGGGTTATTTATATGTAACTTTGAATTTAGTTTGAGTGTCATAATCCTAATTTCATGTTTCTAATGGGTTTGTCTCAAGGGTAGTGAAAAATGTATAATATGAATTTCGAAACATCAACATATGTTTGCTATGTAGATTAGCATGTATCCTTATTTTGATTTTCTTGAAAAAATTGAATCTTTGAGAATTATTTCAAGATTGAAAATGGAGTGGGAAATTGCTCAGATAGAATAAAAATTATGCTTGGAGAGCAATCGAAACCATAATGTGATGAGATGAGTAAAAGTTGAGTTTCATATAAGACAAGTTTAGACCTGTTTCAATTTTAAAATTTTTATTTTGACAAATTTCTATAGGGTTAAATGCATTTTTATGTTTAATTGGTGTCTTTATTTATTCTTGAACGACTATTGAATAGCTACCAACAAAATGACTTATTGAGTTTCATACATTTTGCAAAACTCGATTAAAAAGAGGAGGTACTAAAGTTTTTTATTTTTATTTTTTTTAGAAAAATTAGAATTCCATTAACTATCTATAATTCCCCATTTTCGTTATGGTTGTGATGTTTTCTTGAAGGTATCCCTATTCAAAACATTAAATTTTGAGTTCTGTTTTTCCCCCTAACAATGCAAGTCGGAGGTATAGATTTTTTATTTATTTGTTCTTGACCATTCATGAAAGAAACTTAGCATTGCTTTATCCTTGGTTTTGTTTAGATTGGTTTATTCTATGGGTTTGTTTTTGTTGAGAAACACATTAGGTTTATATAATTTATTGTTTCGTGATTTCTTAATTTTTCTCTTGCCTTCTTTTTTATTAAAAAATTACTAGCAAACTTATTTTAATCTAATTTGTTGGCCATTTTACCGTTTGAGTAGTGGAGCTTATTGTTTGTTTTCTTACATGGACAATGGACATAGCTAAGATGGAGGACGTGTGAAGTCTATGAAGGGAGCGTTGGTGAACATAGTTTTAAAGCAAAGTAGCTTTATATGGCAATGTCACTTAAGTTAAAACGTCTGTTGGTCACATATAGAAAAGATAGTTTTGAATTGGTTGTCTCTTTTCAATATTAATTAATTCTCAATTACATCAATTTTAAAAATTTGGTTATTATAGTACTTTTGTTGGGTTTTTTTTTTGTTTTACTTTGTGCCATTTTTTTAAACATAGTGAGTTTGAATGTGCTACAAGTGTTAAGAGTATGAGATAATGGGTTGTTTTAGTGCTTGAGTTATTTATCTTTCAAGGTTCACTTGGCGGTTACAGGCTGTTCTCAACTTAGTTCACATAGTTTTATTAGAGAGTTTGGATGTATTATAAGAAGTTATTTATGGCGTATATAGATGTGCTATTAATTAAGTAGACACCATTAATTAATTTTGCTAACAATTTTAATTTAGGAGTATTGTAAGCATGAATAATTTTCTATTTGATTGTTGTTTGGTATTTTAGATTTTTTGACTTTGATTTTGTGGATTTAATTTGTTAAATTGTTAGAAGAGTAAAGGAATTTTTCACCTTACATTACTATTTGTGTGTGGACAATTTCAAATTTTAACTTTTATTATGCCACTTTATATATATATATATATATAGAAAAAAAAGTGTTAGGCATGTAATCAAATTGCTCGAGATATGAGCTCTCTATTTTAAGTAGATTTAGTAGAGATCGTTTTATTATATAATTTTATTTGACAGTAAATTTAAGAACATATGAGATGTTAATATACTCTGTGTGTTATTGGTTAGTTCCCATTTTGAATTGGATGATTAATGTGTTATTTTTGGTTAGCTAGAATGATTATTCTTTTGTATCAAAATATTCATTCATCTTTTTTTTGAAGGTATTGAATTATGATAAAACGAAAGGGTTACCAGTTATGATACTAATTTAGTAACATTCTTTTATTGAAGATTTGCTATACATGTGTCATTTTAACATTGATTAAATTTTAGAATTTGCTATTTGGACTTAAATTTTAGCAAATATTTTTAGATTATTTGCTTATGCTACACTAAAATATAAAATTCATTATTTGGATTTTAATTTTGAAGTTTGCTATTTAAAAATTATTAGTAATATTTTTGTTAGTTTAATATGTAAAAATAATTTTAACTTCTTATCAGTGAATTGAAGTGATATTATCATTTTGAATTAATTTATTAATAAATTCCCTGACAAATGTGATACCAAAAAAATTATTGATCACGGCTTCAAGCAGGAATTATCCATAGTAAATATATATGTTAGGTTACTCAAATCATATCCCATGTTGTCAGAATCGCTTTTTCAAAAGAGCAATGTTTTAAATCACTAATTTATCATCATTAATATCACCACTAGTGAGGTGACAATTGAAAAAAAAAAAAAAAAAAAAAACAAGGAAAAAAAAAAAAAAAAAAAAAAACAAGGCACAAAACACATGTGGCAGTGGGTAGGACTCACTGCCACATCATTAGAGTCACCACTAATTAGTGGTCTAAAGCATTTTTGTTTTCAAAATATGTTAAAGCTATACAAATTTTTGCCAAAATACTATAAAAATAAAAAATAATTTTAAACTCATGAAAAGACAATGGAGTGATGCATCAAATCTGTGCAAGTGAGCATTGTACATTTTTTTAAGTTTGAAATTATATTTTATACATTCCAAATTTTTAAAGCTGCATGGAAATAAGAAAAGAATAAAGATGAGAGGTGATGAATCTTGTCCAGCTGTGAAATCAAAAGCCAAGGATCTCTAGCAGGGGGTTGTTTGGATCAGATGTGTTATCTTTTTGACATGATTGTGTGCTGACCTAATTGATTCACTACAACACCGACCTCACCTATGCTGCTTCCTACATATACGTACAAATCCTTTGACATTACTCAAAATAAAAACAAAAACAAAAACAAAAACAAAAAATTCATTGACACTTACATCAAATCATATCATAAAAAGTTTTTGGTAGATACATGTATTTATGTATCATACATTTATATTATCATATAGGTAAAGGTTTCTCATCGTATTGACATGAAATATCTCATATTTTGAGTTTCATCTTCTTCTTTTTTTTTGTTAGGAAAAACAAGATAGCAGTATATATATATAAAAATTAACGGAGTTTAACCTTCTGCCAAGGCCGCTTTTGCCAATACATGAGCCACCTTTTCATTTGTCTACAGACTTTATTAATACAAACATAATCTAGCATATTACAAAAATAACATATATCTTGCACAAGATTCTTCAGATTCCATTCGGTCTTGCTACCATCTTGCAACCGCTGTACTAACTGTAAAGAATCTGTGAGTATGGTAACTGCATTGGCATTGTTCTGCACACACCATTTTACTAGTTCTAAACAAGCTCTGGTCTCGGGTACCAAAGCTGATGATGCAACAAAGGAAAATTTCTTCCATACCAATTGATTTCCAATTTGATTCATACCAACCCATGATGCTCCCGCCTTGCCTGTAAGCTCCTTTCATGCCCCGTCAGTAACAAACTTGGAAGAGGTGTGTCCGAAGTCTGATATAGGGACTTGAAATGATTCAAAAAGATATTCTGAATATCCTCCTGATTAGTACAAAAAGATCCATCCTCCAAGTGGAAAGACATAAAACTTTTCTTGTTGGCATGAATAGTTGCAACCATATGGAAAAACTTCGTATTTCTGTCACCAAATTGCAGCCATTTCTGCCTCGCTCTCTGAACCCAATACATTTCGGATTTTTTGCAGCAAATCATCTAAGCATTGCCTTAACTTCTGTTCTTCTCTATAAGAATTCAACAAATCTTGCCGATTTTGAATTTCTGACAACTGATCTTTATCCCTTGCAATCTGCGCAGCTATACTTCTCTGTGGCAAATTATTCCAGTTCCTCAAATGTTGAATTACAAATTTCTGATGTTGCATTGTTTGAAACGCAAGAGATCCTCTAACCGGGACATTCCATGCCTTGTTAACAATTTTTGATGTTACTCTGTCCATCAACCATACTGCTTCGAACCTCCCCAGGCCAGATTTACCATTAGCTAAAGGACATATATCCAAAATTAAGCACTGTGATCAGACCTCTATATGGGTAGCGTAATAAGAACCACATGCTGAAACAGCTGCATCCAATCCGATGAGGCCACTGCCTTATCAAGCATATAGCGTTTCTAGTTTGGACCCGACCCATTTAATGTTTTGGATCCGGGTTTCATTGTTATATATAGTTATTCTTGTCTTGTTTTCCCTTATATCTCTTAAAGTTTGGCTCTTAGGATTTGTTGATTG